TTATTTCACTTGCTTATACATGGGCATAAAATTTGTTAAATCTCCCTTAAAGTTTAGATGGGGCAACTGTAAGTTAATGAAATTCTATAATATTTATGACAATTATTGTGTTGGTGGAAGAAAAGTTACGCAAGCTCAGTCAAAAGCGTTAAAGAGATGGCAGAGGACGCGACGATGAGGGGCCCGTGGACTCGTATCTAACGGGCTGGTTTGGGGAAGCAGCTCGGAGGTTACAGCACCCTCTGCCTGGCACACCGGACCATGCGAGTGACGGAGACCGGGGGCCACCCCGAAAGCCTCACCTTCCTATCCTCATGTCGGCGTCAGGTTCGGGAAGAGGGTGCAGCAGAACACACATAAAGACAAACGTTTGCTGCACAGCGACAACAGATACACTAAGTGAAGAGAGCGCAAGGGACACTACAGAGAAGGAAAAGCACGTGACTAAAAACATGGCGCGCGAGCCAGTGCCCTCCAAGGACCTCAGAAGGGGCCAGAGTAGCAACTGCCAGGAAGCAGTGGCCTTGGGGCTGGCGTCCTGGGCCCGCGCCAGGGACCAGGCCTGCCTGCCTCGGCATCTGGCATTCTCGGTTCTAGACCTTTGATTCTGCAGTTTCCTTTGAGAAGAATTACTCTCATTACATTATTTACTGTTTGCTACATGTCTAGGCATGAATTTATTGTATTTTGAGGCCATATTTTTACCCAAATGAAACAGAATCCCCATTTGAGAAAACCATTTAATAAAATTTTTGTTTCTGGTCAGACCCTGAGGAAGCCCCTCTCGCCGCGGAGGCGCCTCTGCACTTAGACACACAGCAGCGAGCTGGACCGGTTCCCTCCGCTTTCCCCTACGGCTCCAGGACTGCGAAGGCTTCCAGTCTCCGTTTCTGTGATTTCAGCTGAGCTACTTCTTACTTGGGAAACTGGAAACTGGAAACAAAAGTATATCTGCTGACAAAAGGGTGTTCCAAGCACTGGAAAGCCCGGGGAAAACCAAAAAAGGGAAGCATCGGATAAACAAAGAAAATGGCTCCTGCCAGCAAGAAAGTGCTAACCACCACACAGACGAGGAAAAACAACCTGACATCACGCTCAGCAGGGAAGTGAAGCCTCATCCAAGGGATGCCAGCATAAGGGAGAAGGCAGGAAACCGCGCGCAGACAGGTGTGCCTGTTGGTAAGCTGCATAAATCCGTGTTTATGCGAACATCTCAGCACCCTGGCTCCTTCCATGACACCGAACACTCTGTGGAGGGACAGGGCCTGTGCTAACTGGCCACTGGGAAAGGACGAGGAGATCTCATCCAAACAGGTGGATCGCAACCACATGGAAAGCCCGCTCTGGAGAGAGAAGGAGGAAGACAAACGGAAGCAGGCACACGGCTGGACAAGAACTGGATAAACCACTGTATAAAACTTGGCCTTACATCCTTAAAAAAAAAATAACTATTTGAGGCCCAGCACTGCCAATATCCGTTGCTTCCTGCGATTTAGGATTTTTAAAAAGCACTCATTCAGCCGTGCCTATGCGCAAAGATGCTGTGCCTCTCCTGGCCCAGGGCCAGAGTCCTGCCATCTGGACAGGAAGGAGGGAGAAAGCGGAGGGCTGGAGGAGGGGCTCAGCCTGCAACAACCAATGAAGGACAAAGAGCAGGCGGCCAGGTCCAGTGGAGGCCGCCCTGAGGCCTGGACTGGTGGCCCCAGGCTGTGCGAGGGGCAGAAGCTGCAGCTGTGTGATAAGGTTCATGCTCCCCGGGCATCATGTTTACTTGAAAATATGAGTGAAAAACCATGGCCATGTTAAGCAGTGAATTACAATATTTAAATTGGCTTTTAGAATAAGCATGGGGTTTCAACTCGCTGGTACTCGTCTCTGCTCCTTCTCCATCTCTCTAGGGACACTCCCAGACACAGCTCTAGATCCGCCTCTCCTCCACGCACTCACGCTGGGCTGTCGCGCCCCCTCCCTGGGCCACGCTCACCAGATCTGCACGAGGGAGCCTCAGCTCTGAGCGGCCACCCTCTGAGCTCCCAGGCCACTTCCCTCAGTCTGTCATATTGCACAGGTGTCTCGTATTCAACGCGGCCAACACAACATTTGTCACCTTTAGTGATTCCCATTCCTATCTGACCCATCTCCGCCCGCCCCAAAACAACTTCTCCCACTTCAGGGAGCGACACCGTCACCTAGCCAGCTGCCCAAGCAGAACTGACCTCGCCCCGATTCTGACATCCAGTCATTACTCAGGACCTGTCAAATTCATCACCTCCACTGCCCTGATACAGGTGCATGTTCTGTTGCCAGTGAGATGCTCGCAGATTTGTTTAACTCATCTGCAGTCTCTTCCAGCTTAAATAACCCATCTGAGCTTCTAGCCCAAGCTTCTCATTTTACACAAAAGGAAGACCAGGCCCAGACAAGCAATGTGCCTGCAAAGTCCCTGGATTATTGACAAACCTGCAAGTGGATAAAGAGCAAAACTGATGACATTGATGGACAGGAGAAACCTACTGATTAAAGCCAAAATACTTTTCAAATTAGTTTTTTCCCATAATATATTCAATATGTTGGAAGAGTATGCAGCTGCAGGAGGGTCTCTATATACCGCGATGGCGTGAGCCTCCCCATGTGTTGTTAAATGTGAAAAACGAGATGGAGAGAAGCTGGTACTGTATGTTTCCTAATAGGGCTGTGTTCTCTCTCTCTCTCTCTCTCTCGCTCTCTCTCTCTCTCTCTCTCTCTCTCTCTCACACACACACACACACACACACACACACACACAAATAGAAAGGTAAATCAAAAACTATAGAAAGTGACCTATGGAGGAGGAAAGAAACCGGGAATGGAAGCTAGATTTCTAAAAACGTTTATTTTGACTTGGATCCATTAAAATGTTTTACAAACCTGTAACGCAAAATTTAAAAAGAAACTATTCCTTAAAATAAAACTAAAATAAATGAATCTAACAGTGTAACAAGCTGATGGCACACTGATGGACTGGATCAAGTGACTTTAAATCATAATAACTTGGTGGAACATCCCTAGGGATAAACTCCAAGGACAAAAAGAACGGCAGCAAATCTTAAACTGTTCTCAGCGATTGCACTATGGGTAAGATATCAGGGCTGCCACTCAAACCATCGCATGTATTCCATAGGTGAGAACAAGTAATGACGATGTTAAGAACCAAGGTTCTCGGCATGAGAAGAGAGATCCATACAAAACCAAAGTAAGAACTGTATGATCCTAAATTTGAAATAAAAACATCACTATGAACTCACGATGTAGTTTCACTTAAAAAGCATATTTCCTGGCTATCCACCAAAAAGGCCTGGAAATAATAACCAGCTGAGTAGCGACACATATCCTAGTGCCAGGTTGTGGTCTCAAGATATTTGCTGCAAAAGGGGACCCGAGATGCTTAGAGAAATAGCCAGTTCCAGGTTTGGTCTCAAAAAGTACAGAATGAATGTGAAACATCTCCCCAGAGGAGAAGCCAAGGGAGGAAGACTAGGGGGTCATGCGGAAGGACGAAGGTGTCACTCGAGAGGCTCCGTTGGCCAAAAGGGGCACAGTTTTAGTATGTGCAAGAGTCAAAACTGCAATGAATTAAAACATATCGCAGGTGTTTAAATTCTTAAGTTTAAAACGATACTTAAAATAATCACCAGTTGCTGTAGAGCGGCTATGGAACCGTCTCACACTGAGAACGGCTGAAGAGAAAGAATCAGGCATCTATCCTGCCTCTCATTTGAACCGTCCCTTAGGATAACCAGTTAATGAGGGGAGGGTTCTCTCTACAGAAGATCACTTGATCAAGGCAGAAAACTGATAAAATTTGTAATGTCATCATTTTCATCGTCGAATGACTGAGTCCAGGCACGGAGCAGCACCGGCCGCCACGCGGCAAGTGGATGTGTGCTGTGCCTCCTGGGGGGGCACGCAGCAGCACCCCTGCGACGCCTGTGCTAAAGGCCGAGCCCGACGGAGTCGAACGGGAACAGAACCACAGAGCCGGACCGCTAGACCCGCCTACCCGCTTCAGGGCAATACGGGGCAGGAGAACACAGTCAACAGAAACGGCAAAGTCAGAGGTTTGGAAACCTCTGACCATAGAAAAATCAGCCTGGATTTTCCAACAAAGAAAACGCAAGAAAAAAAAGGACAGGGAGGACCGATCACCTGATTAAGAGATTTAAGTGACATTTTAGCTAACTGTAATCATTTTGGACCCTGCTTCAAACAAACTAAAAAAAATTGAGACTACTGGGGAAAATTGAATGATATTGTGATTATGAATGAAATTTTAAATAGCAGTTTTCTTGATACTTATGAATTTATCAAAAATAGCGATGAATTAAATCTCACTTTGGATGCGAACATTTCAAACCCACTTTATATTCATTTTAATGTTCTAACATATTAAAGAGTTTTTAATTTCAAATATAAAATGCCAGTCAATCACAAATTAGAGATTAAAACACAGGGTATTTTGTTTGTTTTCAAACTCCTAGAGAAAGACAGCTCAAGAGCAAACCATTCACGTTATGAAAAGGTGCTCTGCTAAAGGCAGCCCCCCACTCCCCCCACCCTGCACCCCTGGCCCTGGCCCGCTAATGGCGGTGGGCACCATTCGAGGCAGGGAGCGCCACAGAGATTTCAGAGGTAGGCCCGACGAGGCACAGGGGCTTGCCACTACCCTTGGTTTCAAAGGCAGTAATCATTACTGGGCCATTACAAAAGTAATGACATCCATTACTCTCAACATTTAATGCTGCTTTTAAGAAAATAAAAAATAAAAATGAGGTCACACACCAAAATACGGTGCCACATATACAGAAGATATTCAAATATATCTGTTACAAATGAAAATGCTAAAGCCCAAAATGACTAAGTTCAGGATGTTTTTGAATTTAATTATTTTACTTTTATGCAAAGTCAACAAATAATAGCAAAAGAAAGAAATCTATTCAAGTTAAAATTTTCTGAGGACATACCTGTGCGTCATATGCTGTAAGAAGATATAACTAAACTTGATCAAGGAGGAAGAGACTTCAATACGGAAAGAAGCAAAGCAGAGTCAACCTTATCCTTCTTCAAACAATGTAGTGGAGTCCCTGACCTAGGAAGTAAGAATAACACTTGGTCAATTCACATCTGGAAATGTTTTAAAGCTTCTAAAAACAGAATTTTAAAAATGTAAGTTTTTTTAAATTTATTTTTTTATTTTTTGATATTGTGGATTTGTTTTTCAATTAGTTGACATTCAATATTTTTAATATTATATTCAGAAATACAGCATAGTGGTTAGTTATGTAACTTACAAAGAGGTCACCCGATAGATCTAGCGCCCACCTGGCACCACACTTGGTTATTACAATACTACTGACTACATTCCCTGTGCTGTGCTTTACATCCCGTTACTATTTTGTAACTACCAATCTGTATTTCTTAGTCCCTTCACCTTTTTCACACAGCCCCCCAACACCCCATCCATCTAGCAACCATCAATTTGTCCTCTGTATTTGTGAATGTTTCTATTTTATTTTGTTCTTTAGAGTTCACATGTAAGTGAAATCATACGGTATTTGTCTATCGCTGTCTGACTTATTTAACTCAGCATAATACCCTCCACATTCATGCTGTCGCAAATAGTAAGATTTCATTCTTTTTATGGCCAGGTAATATTTCATTGTATATATGCACCACATCTTCTTTATCCACTTTTCTTGTGATGGGCACTTAGGTTGCTTCCATATATTGGCTATTGTAAATAGTCCTGCAGTGAACATAGGGGTGCATCTATCTTTTTGAAAATTAGTGTTTTGGCTTTGGATAAATATCCATAAGTGGAATTGCTAGGCCATAATGTAGTTTTATTTTTAATATTTTGAGGAACCTTCAAACTGTTTTCCACAGTGGCTGCACGAATTTGCAATCCCACCAACAGTGCACGAGGGTTCCCTTTTCTCCACATCCTCATCAACACTTGTTTTTTGATTTATTAATGATAGCCATTCTGACAAGTGTGAGGTGATATCTCATTGTGGTTATAGTTTGCATTTCTCTGATGATTAGTTACAATGAGCATCTTTTCATATGTCTGCTTGCCTTCTGTATGTCCTCTTTGGAGAAATGCCTATTGAAGTCCT